GTTCGTATGTTTCAACAAAAACTCCTTGGTTTGAATAAGATTGGTTATTCCTTTAAGTTGTCTTGTCCTAGTTGCGTTGAAGCTAAAAGCACTCGTCACCCTTTTCCTTCAAGCCAAACTGTTTACACCGACCCTTCCATCTTGTTCATACCGATTTATGGGGCCCAAGTCCTATTACGTCACGTTTTGGCTTTAGGTACTTTGCTCTTTTCATTGATCAAGCTACTCGTTTTGTCTGGGTATACTTCCTCCGCCTCAAATCTGATTTGTTCTCTGTAGCGAAAGAGTTCTTCAAAATGATCGAAACCCAGTTCGGTAAAACTGTTCGAATTCTTCGTTCTGACAAAGGTGGAGAATTTAGTTCCACTACACTACTTGAATTGTATAAGTCTTGTGGCATTTTATCCCAAAAATCCTACCATGGTGAGTCCCAATAAAATGGTTTAGTCGAGCGAAAGAATTGCCATGTAATGGAGATTACTCGTGCTCTCCTACTTGAATCTCATGTCCCCCCGCGTTTTTGGCCCGAGGCAGTCGCCACTGCTGTTCGCTTGATAAATTACAAGATCACACCCGTTTTGAACCATTTGAGTCCTTATTTTTCTCTCTACTCACAACACCCAGACTACTCCCGTCTCCGTGTCTTTGGTTGTACATGCTTTGTCCTTCTAACCCCTCGCGAGCGCACCAAGTTATCTTCCAAAACCTCTCGTTGTGTTTTCCTAGGATATAACACCGTCCATAAAGGGTATCTATGTTTTGACTCTAACCTTCAGCGCATGCGCATATCTAGCCATGTTGTGTTTTTTGAACACCTCCCTTACTTCTCCCCGTCTCCAGAGTCAACTACCTTTCTTTCATTTATCAGCCAGTTCCCTTCACCTACCTCGACCACTTCTCCAACTCCTCTTGCTGATGATGATGACGATCCGCCTCCCCTCGACTCCCCATCATCCGACTTTGGTTCTTCTTTTGATGCTGCCAGTTCGCCTGAAGCTCCTGTGGTTCCCCATCGCTCCTTGCGATCCAACTTTGGCCAACCTCCCGTCCGGTTCCAGGATTTTAATGCTCATCATGTGAATGCTGCCATAACTGTCCCTATTCGCTATAGCCAGGCCCGCGGGGATCCCAATTGGGACAACGCCATGAAGACTGAAATTGTTTCATTGCTCGCCAACAACACATGGACTGTTGTTCCTTGTCCCCTCAATGTCCCAGTCATCGGCAGTAGGTGGGTTTACACTCTCAAGTTCCATCCGGATGGGAGTCTTGAACGTCATAAGGCTCGAGTTGTTGCTCAGGGGTTCTGTCAAGAGTTAAAGATTGATTATGATGAGACTTTCGTCCCGGTTGTCAAAATGTAGACAGTTTGTACATTGATTGTTGTGGCCGCAGTGAAGAAATGGCCGTTGCTTCAATTAGACGTAAAGAACACATTTCTTCACGGGGATTTAAAGGAGGTGTTCTATATGGAACTTCCTCTTGGCTATTCGGAAGACACTCAAGATCATGTTTGCTTACTTCATCGCTCTTTATACCGGTTGAAACAGGCGGCGCGGGCGTGGTTCGAAAAGTTTCAGAGCACTATCGTGGGTCTTGGGTTTGTTGAGAGTATGAATGATCCATTGTTGTTTGTCCAGAAGACCTTGGCTGGTATAGTTCTCCTTTTGTTATATGTTGACGATATGATCGTCACTGGTGATGATTTGGAAGGCCTACAACGTCTAACGGCTGGTTTGCGAGCTTCTTTCAGCCTTAAGGAACTAGGGCCCTCTCCTATTTCCTAGGCCTGGAGGTCAGTCGTTCCGACCATGGTATTCTGTTAAATCAGGAAAAATACATTGATGATCTACTTGTTAATCATCAATTTGACGCCGCTACTCCTGTTTCCACCCCAATGGAACTTAACGTCAAGCTCGGAAAGGATAGCGGCACGCCCTTGAAAGATGGTTCTCGCTATCGTTCTCTAGTCGGTAGTCTCATCTACCTCACCCACACTCAGCCCGACATCTCGTACGTCGTCCACATCATTAGTCAATTCATGGCTGCACCGACTGATGTCCATCTTCATGCGGCGCACCGCATTCTCCGATACTTACAAGGTACACGTACAGTTGGCCTTTATTTTCCTTCCACTGGTACATTTGATCTTGCAGCTTACTCCGACTCCGACTACGCTGGGTGTATCAACACTCGAAGATCCACGACGGGTTGGTGTGTTCGTATGGCGGGCTCTTTTGTCTCCTGGCGGTGTAAGAAGCAAGATAAGGTCTCCAAGTCTTCAACGGAAGCAGAATATAGAGCCATGTCCGACGTTAGTTCCGAACTCATTTGGTTACAACGCCTGCTAGCTGATCTCGATGTCCATTGCTCGATTCCCCTCCCGTTGTATGTGGATAACACTAGCCAAACATATTGAAATTCATATTCATTATGTGCGGGATCTCGTTCGTGAAGGTGTTATTGAGCTCCGACATTGTCCGACAGAAGAACAAATTGATGATCTTCTCACGAAGGTGTTCTCCTCAACTCGTCATTGGTATCTCTCAAGCAAATTGATGATTCGTTACCATCATCAATTTGGAGGAGGATGTTAGTGATCATGGATTTGTGTCGTGTGTGCATGGGCTTGTATCGTAATGGTTTAATATGGACATGGAATACTAACGTATGGGCTTGGTTACATGGGTTGTGGATGTTACATGGGTTGTGGTTGTATGGTGTATGAGAGCTAGTGTTTGAGTGGGAATATGGAAGGAAGACTCCTATTAAGCTTACGTTACTTGGAGAGTAAGCTAGCTTGTGTATATATGTATGCGGATGGTGATCGAGGATGGTAAGGAAATACGATTGACTTGGAGAGTTTGGACTCTCCCGTGGACTAGTCCTGTATTCAGGGAAACCACGTTAAATTTGGTATTTTGTTCTTTGCGTATTAGTTTGTTTATAGAAGTAGGGGTACATGGTTCCGCCCGGGTTGATATTTAATCATACTTGCCCTATATTGCTCCCGGTTAAGGTTTATACTTGGGTCTTAATTGATATTTTTATTGTGATATTTGGGACGAGTCATACACCATAGTGAAAAGAGAAACTACTCCATGCTAGGCAAGGAGGAAACACAAGAGAGAAGAAGGAAAACCATCTTGGAGATGCTAGCCTTACTCCTTGTGGTGTAGAGATCCTCCTTTGGGGAAGAATTTTCTAAAACATTGCTTGGAGTTGAAACCCTAACCTCTTATCTTCTTTGGTTCATCGATTTTTTCTCTCTAGAAAACTAAAGAAGAAGAAGTTTCTCACACTAGGTCTCTCCTCTTTTTCCCTTCAGCTCAGGCTTCCTTTTATACCAAGGTCGCGGTCAGTTCACCGTCACATTTCACGGCCGTGAACATCCTTCTTGGACTGTGATGTCGAGCAAATCCACACTATTTCACTTAGTCTGTTCACGGTCTGGGCTTCAGTTCACGGTCTTATGACCGTGAACTACTGGGATCTTGTGAGGTGCGCATTTTGTTTATGGACTCTCGGCGCTTCACGGTCTGGGGCTTTGGTTCGCGGTCAGTGAGGTGCGCATTTTACTTCTGGAACTTCAACGCTTCACGGTCTGGGCTTCCTTTTCATGGTCCATAAGACTGTGAAAACGCATCTCCCGCCGTGATCCTCGGCTGCTTTCACCCTTTGACTGGTTTTCGCTCGTTTTCGTCCCACTTTCGATTCGGGGTCAGTTTCACCTGCTAGGATCTGAAACATATTAAAACAAAGTGCAACCTAGCTTAAAACCACACCTCATGGAGTTCAAATGCATCAAACGTCTAAGGAAAACGAAGATAAAATGTGTACAATTGGACCCAAATCATCATGCAACTACGGCCGTGGCCACAAATCTCCTTAGGGACAACAAAAACTCATAAAGCGTTAAAAAAAACTTTGAAATACACCATAAACACGGGCAAAACACACCACAAATCTTTTAAAGCAAACCAAGAATATAAGAAAGCAAACCACAAATATCATAAAAGCATACTACAAAATCCGATGACCGAATTTGGGCAGCCAAATTCCATTGACTGGTGATTGAATTCCGTCAACCATATTTTGACAAACTATCACCAGATTCCCGCTACTAAAACATGAATATGTCATTCTGATTACTAGCGACCAACTCCCGACGTTCGGTCACCAGATTCTAACCATCAATCATCAAATTTCGACGAATGAAAAATGGATCCAAAAAATTAGAACAAAAGTATAATTTTAATTTTTAGTATATTTTCCTTCGATTAATGTTTATTTTCTTATTGATGAGTTAGACTCAACAATCAAAATAATCTATGTTTTCATAGCCGCACTAGATGTTGAACTGTAAAAATTAGTGGTTTAGGGTTCAGTGGTTAATTATTACAGACCGGTTGGTTAATTGTTGATAGAACCGATCCTGATATATAACATACATGACTTGTACAATACGCTAATTTAAATACATATCATCACCAAAATATGTAACAAATCATTCAAGCCGTTTCATAAAAGAAATTATAGTTTTTTATTTCAAGTTAAAAATTATGGTGCCAGTTGTTAGTGTACCACGTAAAGTCGACAAGGAGGTTGGAAAATGAGAAGATGAAGCATGAATATATTAATAATTCTAATTTGATGGTCTTAGTTTACGTTAAAGTATTTTTAAAAAAAACTTTTATGGTTAAAATAATGAACCAGTGGACCAGTTAAACGATGGTGATTCATCTGATTTTTATGTTAAACCGTGAAAAACCTCTTGGTCCATCAATTATCCTCCAAATAGTAAACCGGAACGCTATCATAACTGATTTGGCGGTTCTACTAGCCAATGTTGATCCGGTTCAATTCTTAATAACTACTATACTCAGATTTAAATATCAAACTAATTAAAAATGATTACGATAAGTAAACCAAAATTGTACTAAAGTGGTTATAAAAATCCTTAGCATGTTACGTGCCCTTCTTATTGCCTTCGTCGGTCTCCTGTCCTCAGTGTTCGCTGACTAAATTATAAACCCTAGTTCTCCCAATTTAAATCCTAACCTAGGCCCATTCCGTTCCCCTTGAACACCTAGCCTTCCTTTGTTTTCTCAATCCTCCGAGATGACTAAGGTCTACGGCACCGGTGCTTACGATTTCAAGCGCCACCGCGTGGCTGAATACCCGGTTGATTTGCCCAACCAGCTGGCCGACAAGCCGGTAGAGTCTACACCCGGCGGGTCCCTGCCCAGTTCCATTACTCTCTCCGAGATACAGAGGGACCGGCTGACTACGATTGCCACCGCGAACTGGCTCAAGTCCGATGACGGTAACTCGGAGAATAGAGGCTTTGATGCCGAGCTGGTGAAGAAGATATATGAAACGGAGTTGAAGGTTAGTGAAGGGAGGAAGCCGGTGCTCTTGCAGAGAGTCATGATTCTGGAGGTCAGTCAGTATTTGGAGAACTACCTCTGGCCGAATTTTGATCCTGCAACGGCGACTTTTGAGCACGTTATGTCCATGATTCTCATGGTCAATGAGAAGGTAAGTTTTATGATATCTATTACTTCTCCAGTAGGGGTCAGTCAGCTCAGTATATATCAGTTGCTTTTTTAATCTTGAAGTCTTCGTTGAGGAATAGTGAACAAATTTTGGTAAAGCGACTTTAGAAGTTTTTCAATTGAGGTTAAAGAAGCTTGATGGTTTTGTCCTGGGTCTGACAATTGATAGGTGAAACTTGAAGTGGTGACCTCTAAATTACTTGCTAGCTTAAATGCTCAATGTTTTTCTGGACTTATGAACAGGCTATCCGAGGGAATTTACTATTTAGCCTTCATCTGTTCTTGCTTATCGTGTCTGCTTGTGGGACTGTTGTGAAGCTCCCATAGGAGCTTGGCCAAATGAAGGAAAGACTGGCAATCCTTTTTGTCATCAGAACCCCTGTTATCTGTAAAGAAAGAATAAGAAATATTCTGGGTAGTCAATTAAGTTATCCAAGTAATACAGCATGGAAGTTGTCTCCAGTGAATTTGGGTTATAACTGTAGGATTCATGTAATAAATAGTTCACAGCTAGTTCCTGGATCTGCTGATGTTGAAAATTCCATTTTTGGCTTCTTTGCTCTTCCCTCTTTCCGTGTTATAGGCAATCTGAGGAATAATCTTTCTAAAGATAAGGAATTACGAATTAATGGCCTATTTCGGACAGTACAGAGACTTTTATTTTGATTGTATTGGTACTCCAAGCACAAACGAATATAATGCACGTTTATGTCTGTATTGCAGTTCCGTGAGAATGTGGCAGGTTGGAGATGCTTCTATGACCGCAAAGAAGCATTTAAGGGATTTCTTGAGAGGGTTCTACGGTTGAAGGAGGTTTGTGTTCTTACTACCATTAGTTTAGGAAGTCAGAGCCCTTAATAAACACTAGTATTAGCATCTAGATTTGTACGGCTGACTGTAATTTGTGGTGTTCAAGTTGATTTCAAATTGTTTATTACATATACTATTACATAATCTTGACTAAATGGTAGGATGTATATTCTGATATTGGATTTAGACATCTGCAGTATGCTAACTTCTTCAGTTTATGTCTCTGAGCTATATCTTAGTATAATGAGTTTGTATCCATTCTCTGGGTAAGGTAATGTCATATACAAGTCTCTTTACTGAGTAGCTCAAACCTTTTCTTCTCTTCCAAATCTCTTTTGTCTTGTCAGTCTAACTTTCCTGTCCTTACATTGTTGCTGTAGGGTAAAGATATGAGCATTGCGGAGAAGACAAATTATCTGGTTTTTATGATTAATGCCTTCCAGGTATGGTCACTTCTAAATTCATGTTTTGTGTATATGTAGTGAGTTGATAAACTTTGCAGGCCTGCTACTGGACTATAGCATTACTATAGTTTTTCTTTTGAACGAGGTCTGAGGATCGGGCTTTAAATAGATTATTATTATTCTGTACTTTTAGTTTGAAAAATCATGCAACTGTGTAACCTCTAACCTGGGTCAATAGAGTTCTCTCAAGAGTATTTTGAATATCTTCCTGCCGTGAGGGATTCTCTGTTCTGGTTAAGGGCGGGTTTTTTTGTGCCTCCCTCCGCTCTGTTTTTGGATCTGGTATCTCAAAATCTGAAAATTTAATCTTGCAGAGTTTGGAAGATGACGTTGTTAGGGAAATAGTTCTAAAATTAGCACATTTAAAGTCATGGCACAGTTTGTCATACGGAAGATTTCAGGTATTATTTACAAGCTGTTTTGTTTTTCTTTTAGCCTTTTGCTTGATATTTTTATATCTTCTGCTGTATGGCAATGGTTCTCTCTTTTGTAGATGGAGCTCAGCATTAACCCTGCTTTGGTGAAGAAATGGAAGAAGATGATAAAGGGGGATGCTAAGGAGGCAAAAGCTCAAGGGGAGACTTTTAACCCTTCAAATTCAGTCGAGGCCAAGTTCTTGAGAGATCTTATCGAAGAGTTTCTTGATGTAAACCTTTCCCTTGGCTGTCTTACCAGTTACCAGTTTTTATTTGTATCCTGATGAAGCAATGATTTTTTCTAAACTCCTCATTCTGTTTTCAGGTGCTTGATTTCAAGGGTGTTCCAGCAAAGAATACTGTTACCGAAGATGACGTACTTCATATTGTGCATCAACAGGTTGACGATGCAGTGGTTTTGTATAGTGAGAGGTTTATGGAATTTCTTATCGACTTATTAAGCCAGCTGCCGACTAGGAGGTATGTTCTCTTTGTTTTTAGTTATAAATTATGGTTGATTTTAACCATGTATTAAATACGGGGACTCTTAATTCATGATGCTTTAGTTTTGGATTTACAGCATTCTTATTGTATTTCTCTTACCACAGGTATCTGAGGCCTCTAGTTGCTGATGTTGCTATTGTCCCAAAATGCCATTTGAGTCCTCTATACAGGCATGAAAAGGGGAAGCTCTTTGCTCAATTGGTTGACTTACTGCAGTTCTATGAGAGATTTGAGATTAATGATCATCTTGGGACACAATTAACTGATGATGAAGTTCTTCAAGCTCACTATGATCGGTTCTTTGCTTTTCAGCTTCTTGTTTCTAAACAGATACCCAAGGTTTGCCATATCTAGTGCTTATTAGAAATTTTGCTGCTTCTGATTCTTTGATTCAAACCTCAAGTGTTTGTTGCAGTTACGAGAACTTGCATTATGCAACATTGGTTCAGTTCACAAGCGGGCTGATCTCTGCAAGAAGTTGTCTGTCCTTTCTTCTGAAGAGTTGAAGAACTTGGTTTGCTGCAAGGTATATGAATATTCTGTGTTTTATAGTATCTTTCTTGATATACTGAAATTGTTGCTTCAAATTTGTGTAGTTACCAATTTACCATCATTAGTCTTTCTATTTAAACTTTTATAATTCAAGCTACCTCATTGTTTTCATGTATATAACTCCTTGAAAGTTTAACTGTTAGTTTACTGAGTAGAGGCTTCTGTCACGTTTCTTTTAGCTCAGTTTTCATTGGACATCAAATTTACTTGTGATTTCCAGGGTCGGTCATTTTAGCTTCGGGGACATTTCGCTATAGAAAAATTGGGTTTTGACTTTTGGGCGCAAGTTGACTCTATCATACTAGACAGGCTTACTACTTGAGTTCTCCAAGAATCTTACTCGAGAAATATATGTAGTTCGAATGACTTGGGCATAAATATGTTCAAAACATGGCTTTCCCTGTACTACTCATAATCTATTTGGGTTCGTAATACTGAACTGTTGCTTCTTACTACTTTTTGTTTCTCTGTAATTAGCTCAAACTTGTATCTGAAGAAGATCCCTGGTCCAGAAGCTATGACTTCCTTATTGAAGTTATGGTCTCCTTCTTTGAGAAACAGCAGTCTCAAAAGGAATCTATAAATGCTCTACCCCTCTACCCGAATGAGCAGATTATGTGGGATGAGAGTGTTGTGCCAAGCATTAACTACTCCGGAGAGGGTTGTCTCGCACTTCCGAAGCTTAATCTACAGTTCTTGACACTGCATGATTATCTTCTCAGAAATTTTAATCTGTTTCGCCTTGAATCAACATATGAGATTCGTGAAGATATTCAGGAAGCTGTACCCCACCTTCTTCCATATATTAACAACGAGGGAGACACTGCTTTCCGTGGTTGGTCAAGAATGGCTGTTCCAGTAAGAGGATTCAGGATTAGTGCTGTCAAACAGCCTAACATTGGTGAAGTTAAGCCATCTTCTGTGACAGCACAAGTGACGTACAGCATTTCCAGCTATAGATCCCAGGTTCGATCAGAGTGGGATTCCCTTAAGGAGCATGATGTTTTGTTTTTGCTTTCGATTCGACCCTCATTTGAACCTCTGAGTGCTGAAGAGGCTGAAAAGGCTAGTGTTCCGCAGAGGCTTGGCCTCCAATTTGTACGAGGATGTGAAGTTATTGAGATTCGTGATGAAGAGGGAAAGCTTATGAATGATTTTACTGGAAGGATTAAGCGAGATGAGTGGAAACCCCCAAAAGGGGAACTCAGAACAGTAACTGTTGCTTTAGACACTGCCCAGTACTACATGGATGTGTCTGACACTGCAGAAAAAGGTGCAGAAGATGTCTATGGGACTTTCAATGTGTTGATGAGGAGAAAACCCAAGGAAAATAACTTCAAAGCAATTTTAGAATCTATAAGAGATCTTATGAATGAATACTGTATTGTACCTGAGTGGCTGCATAAGATATTTCTGGGCTATGGAAATCCATCTGCTGCACAATGGACCAACATGCCCGACCTTCTTGAAAAAGTAGATTTCAAGGACACCTTTATAGATGCAGAGCACTTGAAGGAGAGTTTTCAAGATTACCAGGTCTGTGAGCCACCTCTTTTTATTCTCATACTCGCACTTGTTACCTATTACAGTCAAAATACTAAGCAGTGGTGTTCCTCAATGTCTTAAATCCTCTGCAAGCTACATTTGTATTTACACACTTGGGTTTAGTTTCTGGGACTTAGGTCCTTGGGTGACAGTTCTGTTGTTTGTTGGTACCCAGGCTAAGCAGTCACAATATGCATTAATTCCACCAACTTACTTGTCCAGTTATTTTATGCACATTTACTCTTCTGGATTGTTGAAAACCTCATGGTGTCACCAGCAAGGTTGGGCTAGGAGTGCCATCTTCTTAATTTATCCAGATGATGGTGTTGTGAAATGCTATTTGCAAGTATGGGTTTTGAAATGAAACTATTTTGCTGATTCATAACATCTGCAGAAATGTGTACCATGCTGTTTAAAGTTACAGCTGTGTTTTTTATGTACACCTGTTGATGGCCAGATCATGTTTGAAGCTTAGGCAAGAATTCCTTTATATAGTTTGAATATAATTTTTGATTTCCTGCCATTCAAGCTGACCTAGTGTGATTGAAATCCCCTGCAGTTTCCTTTCTGAACTAGAGCAATACTTGCTCCCCCCTTTTGCAGGTGTGTTTTGTTAATCAGGATGGTGTAGAGAGTCTGGATCCAAGACCTCCTTTTCGAATTACTATTCCCAGAACTCTGAAGTGCAATCCCAATGCACTTCCAGATAAGAGGAAGGCTACTACTGATTCAGTGGATGATGTCAATATGGCGGATCAAGCACATGAGAAAGAGAGACTTACTGTTGAGACATACATTCCAACTGATCCGGGGCCTTACCCCCAAGATCAGCCAAAGCAGAACTCTGTTAGATTCACACCCACACAGGTTCCTAATGACCCAGCCTATTTTCAATATCATTGTGATTAAAGTTTTTATCGCTTCTTTTAGTGTTTAATTTTTATTCTCTTTCTAGACGTTGAAGCTTTCACCTTTACTTTTATTCCCCTATTGACTAGTTTTTGGCTTTGTGCAGGTTGAAGCAATTATTTCTGGCGTCCAGCCGGGTCTCACTATGGTTGTAGGGCCACCTGGTACTGGGAAAACTGATACAGCTGTTCAAATCTTAAATATACTCTACCACAATTGTCCCTTGCAGAGGACATTGATAATCACTCATTCAAATCAGGCTCTCAATGACCTCTTTGAGAAGATAATGCAGGTGTGAATCTTCAAAGGCTTGAGGTTAAAAAGTCCCATGTCATTTTGTGCATTATTTTTGTAGTACCTGTCTATATGCTACGATTTGGATTGTAGTCCATTGGGGTTGCCAACTTATGTTTGACATTTGGCTGCTGTTACAGAGAGATGTCCCCGCCCGGTATCTTCTTCGCTTGGGCCAGGGAGAGCAAGAGCTAGCAACTGATCTTGATTTCAGCAGGCAAGGTCGTGTAAATGCAATGCTTGTTAGACGGTTAGAGCTGCTTAGTGAGGTGGAAAGGCTTGCAAGGTCTCTTCAAGTTCCCGAGGATGTAGGCTATACTTGCGAGACTGCAGGATATTTTTGGTTGCTTCATGTGTATTCTCGCTGGGAGCAATTCATTGTTGCTTGTAAAGATAATAAAGATAAACCGACTTTTGTCCAGGACAGATTTCCCTTCAAGGAGTTCTTTTCAAACACTCCTCAGCCATTGTTTACAGGTCAGTCATTTGAGAGGGACATGCGGGCAGCTATGGGGTGTTTCCGTCATCTTAAGACTATGTTCCTAGAACTAGAGGAGTGTAGGGCATTTGAGTTGCTGAAGTCAACAGCTGACAGAGCGAATTATCTTATGACCAAGCAAGCGAAAATAGTAGCCATGACTTGCACTCATGCAGCCTTGAAGCGAAGGGACTTCCTTCAGCTGGGTTTCAAGTATGACAACTTGCTGATGGAAGAAAGTGCCCAGATTTTGGAGATCGAAACGTTCATTCCGATGCTACTTCAGAGGCAGGAGGATGGTTATGCAAGGCTCAAGCGTTGCATTCTCATTGGCGATCACCACCAGTTACCTCCTGTTGTGAAGAATATGGCTTTTCAGAAGTACAGTCACATGGACCAGAGCTTGTTCACAAGGTTCGTTCGACTGGGAATCCCTTATATTGAGCTCAATGCACAAGGTAGAGCCCGGCCAAGCATAGCCCAGCTTTACAATTGGAGGTACAGGGAATTAGGAGACCTTCCTTATCTAAGGGATGATCCGATATTCCGTAGGGCGAATTCGGGATTCTCGTATGACTATCAGTTGGTTGATGTTCCCGATTATCATGGAAAGGGTGAGAGTGCACCATCTCCTTGGTTCTACCAGAATGAAGGAGAGGCTGAATATGTTGTCAGTGTCTACATCTACATGCGTTTGCTAGGGTATCCTGCTAACAAAATTTCCATCTTAACAACTTACAATGGTCAGAAGCTTCTGATACGGGATGTTATCAACAGACGATGTGTTCCATATGATTTCATAGGTCCACCCAATAAGGTAAGCTTGTCCGACAGAAGATGGGTTCCAAATCATTCCAAAATTAGTTTTCAGTAATAGAAGTTAGAAGTGGGAAGGAAGTATTTGATTGAGAAGTTGCCGTGTGCTGATAGTGATGCTTGGAGTTACTATATACAGACATCAATAATCTTTTGTTACTTTGTATACAGGTGGCAACAGTTGATAAATTCCAGGGGCAGCAAAATGATTTTATCTTGCTCTCGCTTGTCCGAACTCGCTTTGTGGGTCACCTGCGTGATGTTAGAAGATTGGTTGTTGCAATGTCTCGTGCTCGACTGGGGCTATATGTGTTCTGCCGTCGATCACTTTTTGAACAGTGCTACGAACTGCAGCCTACATTTCAACTCCTACTAAAACGGCCTGACAACCTTGCCTTGAATTTGCACGAGACCTCACCTTACACTGAACGTCCTGCTGAAAACAGTGGACAGTGTTACCTTGTCAATGGTGTGGAGGAGATGGCCCAAATTGTTGCTGACAAAATCAATCAATTGCATCAGGTATTGTGACGTGTTCCCTCCTGGTGTGAAGTTTCATTTGTTCATCTCAGTAACTTTGGGATGTGACTGTTTAGCTTTTGCTACACAGAAGTGACTTCTTTTAAGGTTTTAGTCGAAGCGAAGAATAAATGTCTTTCTTTTCCAGGTGTTTAATAATTGAAGATGTGTGTTTTTAGCTTTTAAGTCAACTACTTAGCCAGTCTCTTATTTGTCAGCTAACACAAACACAAAATGGTGTTCGTGTCTCTAACTTTTGTTTTATCAGGCAAGGATAATGAGCTACCAGTTTCAGCAGTCTATGGCGTACTCGTCCACTGTACCATCCCTTGAGAATGATGCAGCTGAAGGTGTGCCTGATGGAGACATTCCACAGGAAGCTGATGCCACGATGAGTGATCAAAATGAGGACCTCCCTAAAGATGGTCAATCAGAAGTGGAGAATGGTGTGCTTCCTGGAACCTTGTTGGCGAAATCCCCTACAGAAGTGAATGTCATTGCTGGCGATCAAAGTGGGAGTCAAGCAATTACGATTCAATCTGATGAGGAAGCAGAAGATTCGAACAACGACCAAACAAGAATGGAGGAGTAATCCTGGGGTTAGAATACTCAGTTTGATTGAACTCCGATTTTCCCTGTTAGCAACGGGTGATTGTAGTTCTTTTGTCCAACTTTCCATTACAGCGATGGTCGTGATTTCATGTAATTGTGCACTTTGAGTATTCTGCATTGGTGAAGAAGGTACGTGCATCCATATCTGTGAAAGGACGAGGCTGCAAGTGAGTTTTTGTAGCGATTTCGATCCACTAATTGGTTAACGAGAGGATGAATAACGTTTTAGATCCACTAAAGTTGCAGCGAAGCAGCATGTAATTTCACAGTAGTATTACTCTGCATTTGCTAGGTGATGGATAAGCTGACCAGTTCTGTTGTACTCCTTGAATGTCCTCGTATCTTGTTAATCTATCCCTGTTGCTTTTTTTTTTTATCTCAAAACCGCATTATTATTATTATTATTATTATTATTTTGTATACAGCAAGCCTTTCATTTTCATGTGCCATGCTGCTAGCAGCTGTTGTTATTGGTTTGATTGAAGCACAAAATGCATGCATTCGTATAATCTATACATTCTTTCATGTTTTTTTCAAACAATGAATTTTTAAAAATCACATTCTTACTACATGCATAATTTGAAGACAAGGCTCTATTTCCGGAATGAAAGGTTGCAAACGACTCCTAAGTTGTTTTCTAAAAAAAAAAAAATAGTTTCTTTTTATGAGCTTGCTCGAATACCCCCTTTTTTTGTATTGTTCTTTTATTGCTTGGAAACTACATACGTTAAACTTTCCTGCTCTTTTACCAAAAAAAAAAAAAAAAAAACTTTCCTGCTTTTTTACCAAAAAAAAAAATAATAATAATAAAACTTTCCTGCTCTGTGCATGTTATGGACGCTGCCTATACAATCAACCCTTCTGGTAGTTCAGCAACCAGACTTGGCAAATGGCAACCTACACACAACAATGGAATAACCGATGCAATGATGCTTGCATCTCAGCTTTGGCAGCTGATCTGGAAGAAACTGATCTCGATATGTGGGATGTGACAAATTTTAGGCCAATCTTCTCCAGTATAGGGCTGGCACCTGTGCTCCAACAAAGGACACAGGAACACAGACAGTGAAGAGAGGGAGAATGGAAGGCCTTCGTCCGGTAATGAGCGGAGCTTAGGACAGTTGCATATCTCCAGTTCCCTAAGGCCTGTAAGGTGTCGAAGCCCCGTAAAGTCCAGAGATGTTAGATTCTGGAAGTCACCAATTTTAAGTGATGTAAGAGTTGAAGGAAGCAGCTTTTCCCCAGGAAAGGATGCAAGGTTTGAACATCCAAGCAACATAAATCGTGAGAGGTTTGGGGCGGGTAATCTTCTATTCAAGAAAGACCCTAAACCAGGGCAGTCCATGATCTCCAGGGAACTGAGATTTTTCAAGTAATCATTGTTTGCTTCTGGAGGAAAAAGGCGCTGCAGCCTTGGACAGCTGCTGAATCGAAGAGTCTTCAATTCAGGGAACATCTCTACTGGAAAAATCTTGACTTCACAGCAGTTCTTGATCTCAATCTCCTGTAAACTGGAAGTAAGGCCACACATTTGCTCCATGTCTTGTAGCAAGGAGTCTATGCAATTAAACCCTTCAATGATGAGATGGTACAGCCCAAAAGAACATGGTTTCACAAACCTCATCAGTCGATTATTGTCTTTAAGATGAAGTCTAAGGATATCTGGGGACCTTGGCAATGACGCCACTAGCTGGGGACATCCTTCAATCTTGAGTGTTGTTAATGAAGGTAGATGACCCGGTAGGGCCCCTGTCAATGCTGGACATTCCCGTATGTATAGTTCCTGAAGAAGGGGGAAAGCAGCTCCACATTCATCATATCGGCCTGTGTTATAAGCACTCCATTCCTGCCACTTAGGCATCAGTTCGAATGTCAAAGATTTCAGTGATGCAAATGGTGGCTTCTTGGTCAAGCAATTTCCATAAACATCTGGACCGACAACCACTAGTTGGTCGAATCCTGTTATCCAGAGGTCTTCTAGAGATACCAACTGCCCAAGTGGCGGCAATGATGAGCACTGCCAACATCCAGTTAGCTTCAAGGATACCATATTAGAATAATAAAAGTCTCCCACCCAGGCGGGAAATCTTGAACCTCCATAACCATCAATAGAAAGAGATTCGATGTTCCTATGGGGTTGTAATTGCTCAAGCACCTCCATATGGGACATAAAATCACCATCGCCATTGTCCCATTCCAACTTCAGCTTCTTAATATTTTTCTTGCCCTTCAAATTGGCCTGGAGAGCATCTCTTGGAATAGTAACATTTTGCAGACTGCATATACGAAGCTGCTCCTGTAGATGCTGAAGTTCTCCCAACTCTTTGATGCTACAATCACCTTGTATTCCCACAACAAAATCACTCAATCTTAGGAGCTTCCGGAGCTGACCAATTTGAGGCGGCATGTTCTTCAAGTTTGTTCCTCTGATATCAAGATGAAGAAGATTGATTAATCTTCCCATGTTTGTTGGAAGTACGACAAGTTCTTTGCACTCAAACAATATCAACGTCTGCAAATTATATAATTTACAAATAGTTGCAGGTAGCCTTCTAATTGATGATCCTGACAGATTCATATATCTCAAATGCTTCAACTTGCTTAACGACTTGGGCAGCTCCGACAATCCACGATAGCAACAGAGAGAAAGCACCCTTAGGCGACTAAATTTTTGCAATAAACCACGCATTACATCTTCGTCAAGCTGCGACCACTCAACAAGTAAGAAAGTTCGCAACAGTTGGGCACCCTGGAAGCTTTCAAGCTTCTTGGAGACATCATGCTCTACACTTGTGTATGACAGATGACGAGTCCTCTTACCAATCTCTCGGGAATCATCTCCTTCCAACCTAAACCAAAATTCTCCGGCAACAAATTTAGCCAAGTCATTTACTAGATCATGCATAATGAAGCATGATGGATAGACACTTGATCTCTGGAAGAATGATCTAGCCACAAGATCATGAAAATACTCGCCACCCACTTCTTCCATTGTCTTACATTCTTTCCCCAAGACCAAAAAATCCTCTGCCATCCACAGAAGAACCAGTTCTTCCTTCTCGAACACATAATCCTTGGGGAATAGCGCACAATAAGCAAAACACTGCTTTAGATGTGAAGGCAGATAATGGTAGCTCAATCTTAGAGCTGGTAGAATGTCCTCGTTTGACAGATCCCACATGTCACTCTTCAGTACCCTCTCCCATTCCGCAACATCCGTTTTGGCCCGGAGGAGACCGGCTAGTGTCTTGGCAGCCAAAGGCAAGCCTCTGCACTTCCTTACCATTTCCCTACCAATGAGCTCCAACTCAATATGCCTCCCAGATTTACCTTCCTCGAAAACATGTTTCAAGAACAAACACCAGCAATCATCATCGCTCAACTCCCTCAGATGATAAGCCACGACAGTCCCCATTACAGATGCAACAGTTTCATGCCGGGTTGTGACCACAACCTTACTCCCTTCTGTGCCAGACTTCAAAGGTCTCAGCAAAATATCCCAATGAGCATACTTGTCATTCCAAACATCGTCCAAGACGAGCAAAAACTTCTTCCCATTCAACTTCTCCTTGAGCATCACCTGAAGTTGATTCAGAGTTGTGGAGAAGCATTTCCTCCCAGTCACCTCCTCCAGAATATCTTTTGTCACCTCCGAGACATCGGCTTCCTTGGATACACAAACCCACGCCATGAGATCAAACCTCTCCCGAACCACATTATCATTGTAAACAATCTGAGCAAGAGTTGTTTTGCCAACCCCACCCATGCCAACAATTGGAATCACACCCACCGCATTGTGGCTTCCATAATCCGATAATAGCATACCCATTATGGCTCTCTTATCACCATCCCTACCATAAACACCAGATTCATCGACCAGGGAAGTGCTGGGAAGCCTCTGCAACGAAGGGTTCTCTCCGATTCCATGCCTCAACCCCAGGGCATCCTTCTGTTTCACTAAATACTCGATTCTCCGCAGGACGTCCTCCAGTTTCCATTTCATCCCTCTTTTCAATGGATTCAGAGAGGAGAAGAGATGGGTCGCTTGACGTATGCTGTTCTGACTTGGGGACTCCAATCTGGCTCTCAAAGCTCTGTAGGAAATTTCATCGAACAGGTCGTCGGCTTCAAAGACAGCATCTTTAAGCTCGTCGAGCCACATCTTTACAGCCGGCTTCGAGACCTGCTTCTCCTCTGCATCATCGAGAACAGCATTGACAGAGTTCATCAAGGAGTTAAGCTTCTTCAACAGTGCGATTGTGAGCCTTCTCCCCTGGACGGAGTCCACAACTTCACTCGAAGCCATTCTGTCGAACAGGACTTGGAAGAGAGCAGCGAGAACTGATCCTCCCAGTGCTTCCATGACTTTTTTTTTGTCTCGGAAGCTGTTAATGGAGGAGAAAGGGTGACGGAAAGGAGATGGAAATGGCAGAGAAAATCGAACCAGAACTTCCCAGGAGATTGTTTGAATTCTCAGAAAATGCAGAGGCAGGGTAGAAGGAGACGGAAATTGGTTTTCTGGAGTCATTAACAAAGATTTCCTTTTTGTCTCATTCGTTCCATTCCTCGTAATGCGCACTCCATACACAAACAGCCAAGCCAACAGACGTGAAAACTGAAAAGCCAACCAAACTTCCGCACTTCTTCTGTAGTATATACTTGTCCGCCCGTTGTGCCCGTGTACAATGCAAATTGGGAGGGAGATGAAGAAGATACAGCATCATGATTAGTAGTGGAAATTGAGGTGGGTGTGGTTACCAGTCCCACATTTTGCGGATAATCACATTTACAAATATAGAATTATGCTATTCACAACCCGTCCCGCAGTGACCACTATCCGCTGCGGTTTGGTGCGGGTTGGTTGTGGATAGCCACAAAAATTTTACATTAAAAATACTAATATGATAATTAAATAGTGAGGTTGTGTTTCTTCTCACACAAAAACAAATCACATACATAAAAAAAGTTAATTAAGTGTAAAATAAATTATAAATATCGAATACAATAGGTTAGTTAGTGTAAATTCAAAAGAGATGGATTTGGAAAGAGATTTGAAGATAACGAAGAGACGGAGTGATATGTTACCCGACTAACATCGTTGAATGTCACGGCTCCTCCGATGACAACAACAGCAAAACACAAAAGTGGCTTGATAAGTGGAGGCGCCCGCTTTTAATGAATCGATTATTCTCCACTCTCGATTAATGATAATAGTCTTGTATTGTTGGTAGCTGGTTGCATGTTGTGTTGTTCGTGAGTTCGTGGAGAAATGGAGTTGAGTTTGGGTATCAGACTAACCTTTATAGATTATTCTCATCTTTTAACGAATCGATTAATTTATCCGACTATATCTATGGACTTGGTTTTGTTATAAAATAAACATATACCACACGGACAATGCTTATTTAATAAAAGTATCTCACATGAACATTATGTATTGACTTGGTTTTGTTTTATAGAATAAGTGCATATTTGATTTTGGTAGCTACTTTAATTCTTAGTATTCCAAGTTTAACAAACCAATATAACTAATGTGGTTAGTGTGGGTTTTGTGGGTAAATCGCTGTGGGTAGTGGTTAACCACTAACCACAAAAATCAATATTTTGATACCCACACACAACCCACTATCCACAAATTGTGGGTATAGGTATCCACAAACTGTGGTACAACTCAAGGTGACTTCTCATAGGGTCACCCATCATTGTTGTACTCCACATTGAGCACGTTTAAATTCGGAGTTCTCACAAGAACTCCTCCATTTCACCCCAAAATACGTCTTGTCAGTTAAGGTCGGTTTCTTACTTATGAACCATGGATCTCTCCCGTGCTTTGTCGATGTGGGATTTGCCTAAGGTCTTACATACACCCCCCCCCCCCTTGGGACTCAACGCCCTCGTTGAGATTTGCCCCACCATCGTTCAAGAGGGACGCGGAGAGACTCTGATACCACTTGTAACATCCCAAACCTTTTCATGACGAAGATATTGTCCGTTTTGGGCTTCAACCCTCACGATTTTTGACTTGGGTTGCAATTCATGGTGACTTCCCATAAGGTCACTCATCCTTGTTGTACTCCACATAGAGCACATCCATTTCACCCCAAAACGCAACTTGTCAGATAAGATCGGTTTCTAACTTATGAACCATGGATCTCTCCCGTGTTTTGTCGATGTGGTATTTGCCTAAGATGTTATATCATCCATCAATTAATAAAAAACGAGTAAAATAACTCGAGTGCCACCTAAGTTTGAGAATTTGAGTAGACATACCACTTAAGTTTGAATAGGGCGTCAGCAGTGGCGGATCTAGGAATTTTACATAGAAGTGTCCTCTCTCAAAAATTAAATGTAATTAAATATCTGAAATAAATTAAATAATTATTAAATATGAAAATATCTAACTAATAAAAGTTACATTAAAAGTTCATACGTGTTTCGTAAAATGGTAAAATACATCCGATGTCTATACTGCTAAACATATATCTCTCGACACATCTTATTAGACAAGGGTATCTGGTAATTGGGTTCAATCGTTAAGTTTTGAAAATAATACGGAATAAGAACAATATTTTACTATTATATTTGGATCTAAAACACAATGACAAATGAGTTGTAGTGTAATTGAAAATAGGTTTACTAATAATGGCAGTGTCCCAAGTTTAAATCACACAGACTACTACTTAAGTATTATTTGTACCAATATGCAAACTACTACGGGAGGTTGGATAATCTTTTCCCCAAATTTTTCGGGTGTCCCACTACCCTTTAAACATTTTTTTTTTGCTTATACGCAAACTACTATCGGATGTTGAATAATCATGTTTCCAAATTTTAGGGGTGTCCATGTATCCGCCAATGGGCGTCGGATACTATTAAAGTTGTCAAATTGTGCATCCGTCTAGTTTTCTATCCAACCCAAACTTTTAATTACCTTTTGGTACCCAAAACTTTTAAAAATATCCAAAACTATATTTCTACAAGTTTTATCTAATATAAAAATTAGAAAATCTTCTAAACATAGTATTACTAGAATGACTAATCAATAAAATAGATAAATTAGTGAAAGTAATAAACCAATATCAAGAAGAATAATAAAATATAATAGAAGATAATAATAAATATTTAAAATCAATATTAAAAGCTCTATTTAAACCCCAAATTCAATTAAAAATACCATTAGAAATAGTTAAAATAGAACCTAATCGATCATCAATACATCAAGACCAAAGAATGATTAATGAAACAGAATCAGAAAGAATTAAACATAATTCAATAATTGAAAACAATAGAACGAAAAGAGACGATCAATAATCAAGTAATAAATAAACTATAAAAGTTACAACATTCAGTAGAAAAGAAAATATGACTATAGTAAGATAATTAGAATTAGTAAATTTAAATAATTTGGAACATGTACAATTTAATGTTAGAAAATTAAAAGGATATTTAACATGGAAAATTAACAACATCAATATGATGTAAGAGAACTAAATATAACATATTCATATTATTTATATCGAATTAGAATTCATAGGATATATTTGCTTCAGAAAATTATTCAATTATTAGAATGATAATTGATTCTAAATTTTCTATTCAAAAATTGATTTGGTATTAGAGTTTTCAAAAGAGGATTCAAACTAAACAAAATTCGTAAGGTATATTTTTTTTGGGAATAATTCAATTATTAGAACACATAATGATAATTGAAAATACTTATAATGATAATTGATTTCAGTGGTACCAGGTGCACATATAATAGAATTCAGTGGTACGCGATGCCCTATTCTTAGTTAAGTGGTATAACTCCCCCAATCCTCATACTTTAGGTACCTACAGGGCGATCCTTTGTCTCTCCTCCTCTTTGTCATATGCACAGAGGGATTTGCGGCGCTCTTACGTAAGGCCATCGAGGAGTGGAAGCTAGCAGGAGTCCTAGTTAGTCCCAGAGCCCAGCGTGTATCGCATATTTTCTTTGCTGACGATTCATATTTATTCCTCCGAGGATCAATGCAAGAATATGAAAATCTGTTGGAGGTCCTAAATGAATATGAGGAGCTTAGTGGACAAAGGGTCAACCTGGCTAAATCCGCAGTATGTTTTAGTAAGAATATTTTGCTTGTAGCTGAAGAAACGCTTGCTATCTAGCTTGGCGTAGGAGTAGGAGCGGTAGGAGTGCATGATAAATATTTGGGCTTACCTACCTTTATTGCTCAGTCCAAGATGACTACTTTTCGTTATCTGGAGGAGAAGTTGTTGGCATAGTTAGACGGCTGAAATAGAAGGTGCTTTCATGGGCGGTCAAGGACACATTGATAAAATTCATTGCGTTCACTTTGCCGCTTCATGTTATGTCCTGCTTTAAGCTCCCTCTTACTCTCTGTCTCATTCTGAATAAACATGTGGTTAGATTTTGGTGGGGGATGGGTGGGGGCCATCCTCAGATTAGGTGGATTTCCTGGCGTAAATTGTGAACGAGTAAACATGATGGGGGAATGAGATTTCGGAGGTTCGAGCATTTTAATCATGCCCTTCTAGCTAAGATTGCACAAGGATTCTCAATGAAACTAATTCTCTCTTGGCCCGGTTATTGACTCGCACGAAGCTACACCACGAATTAATCCCGACTAGAGCCCAAGTTTTTAAACTCTAACCGAGTGCAGTATGGGGCAAGTATTTAATTGTCAAACCCGGGCCGGTCCATGTAACCCTACTTCAATCGCTTAAGTTGTTATCTAGCAAAATAGTTTTGGGTTTAAAACAAAGAAAACTACAAGATAAACAACCAAGTAAAGAAAATCGAGGGGAATTCTATATGAGAGGACCTCACTCGGGTGTTGCTTCCCCCTAACCAACTACCATGAATCATGGTATTGAATGAAACAGTGTGTGGCGAGGCAATTGTGACCCGTAGGAGGTGCAACAATGGTTGGAAACCATTCTCCCTATAGCTAGGCCAAGGTAGGTGTCAAAGGCTACAATTGTAGCCCTCTTGGCCCAAGCAATTGAGCGTTGACTTACTTTCTCCCTCAAACCAAGGTTTAGACGATATAATCACAATTAACCCAGGTGTCTAATTCAGACTTAGAGGTTTGCCCTTAATTAACATAGTTAGGAGGCATGGAATGCCCAAGAAAACCCATCTCTAATTGAGCCTCTTAAGTTAAGGGGGCTTCTCTCTAAACTAGTTTAGGAGGCATGGAATGCCTAAGAAAACCCAGCTCAAATTGAGCCTCTTAAGATAAGGGGGCTTCTCTCTAAACTAGCTTAGGAGGCACGAAATGCCCAAGAACACCCAACTCAATTTGATCCTCTTAACATAAGGGGGCTTCTCTCTAAGCTAGGTCAAAATAGCACAATAGA